TCAATACAGAAATTGATTTGAGAAAAAAAAAAAAAAAAAAAAAAAACGAGAATTAAACGCACGGCCACTCGAGAAGCAAGCTCCTACAGCATACAAATGGCAAAAGAGATGTTAAAGTATAGCCGGTCTCTAAAAAAAGATCAAACGTCACCTTGACTTTCCTGGAATGAAATTATGTTTTCCTTTCTTCGTCTTCTCGCGAGAATAACGCGTCGGAATAAATCACTCCACTTTTCGACTCTGGACCAAATTTACATCGCTCGCGTTCCATCGTCGTGTAAAATCGAAAGAAACGCGCGAGACTTGGCCTTCTTTAACCTAAGGAGGAACCTGCGTTGCCTGTTTGAATTCCACTTCTTACGATTCGTTTCCCCCTCCCCCCCCCCCTTTTGAATTTATCTTTTTCACAAAGGTCACTTTTCACTCGTCGACCGAAAGTAGAAAAAAAAGTAACTTCATCAACGTTTCTGTGAATATTAAAACGAACGAAAATGTGTCTCACACAAATATGATTTTTAATTGCTTTTTTTCTAGTTCCCCTAACACCTCGACCTATACCTAATATAATACCCCCAAATGGTAATTCTACGAACAGCACGACTGCACTTCCAGAAGCTGAACAGGTAATTACTTCAAATTACTGTCGTCAATGTCATTCGTTAGTCATCAGATGTTTGTACGATCCTCTACAAACATAGTTTGTAGTATATTCATATTGTTCAACAGGTAGAACGGACGAGGCAAAGAGTACCTGAAATAATAGGAATCGCCATAGCTTTCGTCACGATATTAGCGATATTGTTGAGTATAGTTTACTGCGTGAGGAAACGGAGTTACAACGTCAAGTCACAAAGGAATTCGCTGGATGTACGTCAATCAAATAATAATATTGCAGGACCCTTTCAAAATTGTACTTGTTGCTTGAAAAACAGAATATTCTCGGTTAATTGAAAAGAGAAAATTCTTTCCTTCTTTTTTTTCATGCTTAATGCAAAATTAACATTATATCTTCGAGTACAATAGCAGTTTTGAGTGTGTTAATATATTTCCTGAAGAGTCATACGATAACTTCATATTTTCTTATTACTGGAAGGAAATGCAACGATGAATATTTTTATATTATTGAGAATATCGTTTCTGTCAAGTGTAAATACAATGTACTGTTCATTTATATGTTTCTTCCCTTCTTCTATTTTATTCATATATCTCCTTTCTCTCTTCATATTCGAAATATTTGAAATATTTGATTTCAGATGAAAGTCTAGCAATAATGTTTAAGAGAAAAAGATGTAAAATATTTTTAACCGATATAACTGATTATTCGATAGCGTTTTATTAAAGACAGTCTTATACAAGCTTATCTCAATGCGCAAATAAGTAAGCTACTGAAACTTAATGGTGGTTGAGTGAAACACTCTTTATGCTGATTATATTGAGTTCGCATTTCACGAACGGACAAGGAAGTTTATATTCTCCGTCATATTTCTTGCATTGCAATTTTATTTGTTATTTGCTGTTGATAAAATTCAAAGTCACGTCAAAATAATTCTGGACCTCAGAATAGATCTCATCTGAAATCTAATACGTCCCTTTGACTCTCGTATATATGTGTGTGTGTGTGCAGTATCATAATTAAATTCTTCTCAATAAAATTTACAAATGTTTTGTAAAAAAAGAAAAAAAAAAAAGAATGTTTGACTGGCAATCAAAAGATTATTATGAAAATAGCTTGCATATGTTCTCCTCAGGCAACACCGATCAATCTGAAAAAGGGATTGCTGCTAGCAAATAAGTACACACCTAATCCACAGTATTTTAGTTGCGCCTCGCCAGAAGTGGCAATTTTGCAACGCGAATCTCTTGTATTTTTAGAGGACATCGGCGAGGGTTGCTTCGGCAAAGTGTACAAAGGTTTTTATCATTTTTTACCATTTAAAACATACCGTAGTATATCAAAGCACATAAATAATAAACATAATAAACATAAATCGAGTTTTTATAGAGTTCTCGCGAATATCTAGCGCATAATTACCAAGACTTTATCCCCCCCCCCCCTTTTTTTTCTTTTACAGGAGAATTGTGTCTGGGTGACTCGTCGAAAGAGATCGTCGCGATAAAAGTCTTAAAAGAAACTGCGTCCCGCGAAGCGGAAGAAGACTTCATGCGCGAGGTCGACATCATGTCCACGTTTGGGCACAGAAATATCTTGTCGCTGAAGGGTGTCGTGCTTCGAGAGGGTAGCAGTAGCCCGTGGATGGTTTTCGAATACATGCCTTACGGGGATCTTGCCGAAGTTCTGCGCTCGAACTCTCCACAATTCGGTAGATCGGCGAAACCCGGCCTGCAGCCTCTGACCCAGGTAAATTTCCATTAATAAAACGCCACTTTTCTTCTTTTTCTCTCTATTTTTGCCAGGCCCTGCAGCTTTATCTGTTTCAGGAATCTCTACATTGGATAACAATCCAAATTGCGGCTGGCATGACTTACTTGTCCGGTCAAAGGTTCGTCCATCGTGATCTGGCGTGCAGAAACTGTCTAGTTGGTTCGGACCTCGTTGTCAAGATAGCAGATTTCGGAATGTCACGAGATGTGTATACTTGCGATTACTACAAGGTAATTAAGATTTTGTCTTTGAATGGCTCATCGGTCACTTCAAGTGATTCATTCAACAGAGTTTCCCTATTCTGTTTAGATAGGAGGCTCTAGACTTTTACCGGTTCGTTGGATGTCGCCGGAAAGCGTGATGTACGGACGTTTCACGCTGGAAAGCGATGTATGGAGCTTCGGTGTTGTTCTATGGGAGGTCTATTCTTTCGGCAAACAGCCATATTACGGACACAACAACGAGGAAGTGAGTAAAACGACCCTATCGAATTGACAGGTCAAATAATAACAATTTACAAAAGCTCTTTCAATTTACGTGTCTTATATATTTCCCAAGATACAAAAGCATGAAACATCTTTAGTGTCGGATCTTTCGTCCGTACTTACACGTACTCACATTACTTTGTACCTGCCGCGCCATTACGCTTTCTTACTACTTACTCTCACTGCTACACCACCAGTGAAAGTAATCTCATTCCTTCAAGCAACTTGACACGACATTCCCTTACATACTAATTTCCTTAGTATAATTAGTTACAATCTACCACGTTTTTTTTTTTTTTAATGTTCCGACAGGTAGTGAAGTTAATCTTCCAAGGAATAATGCTCATACCCCCGGAAGGATGCCCGCCGTTTGTTTGCCAGTTGATGAGAGATTGCTGGAAAACCGACCCTAAGGACAGAATCAAGTTCTCAGAGATATTAGAAAGGCTCGAGAAAGCTAAGAGTAAATCCGTTCAACAAGACACGTTGCCAAGACCACCCCAGGGACCAGTTACCATTCGTACACCAGACTTGTTGGATCCTGATGGTTATTTGTTGCCAGCGCCGACCAAACCGCACGAATATTTGCAAACGTTGCCGGCTTTGTCCGATTGACAGGTGATTCAACAAAAAGGAAAGCCAGCACTTCGACAGACGATAATTTATGAATTTGAGTTGTTGCTTCCAAAGCTTCTAGAGCCTCGTCGTATTATAATACTCTCGCCGTTGACGTCTTCCTTTCGATATTTCGTCGTTTCATAGCGTCCGGATTGAAAGACTGATGTGTTTGAGAACTACTATGATAGATGTATATATACATTTGATGAAAAAGAAACTGTTGAAAATTACCATCTAGCAGCGGTTGTTACAATTCTTCGTACTTTTTATATTTGCATACGTATACGTACTCTCTCGTGTGTAATTAAAACAAATACCAATGACGTCAGGGAAATTGTGAAGGTTTCGACGCTCGAACTTTCATTGTCCAGGAAATAGTATTAATACTTTGTAATGTTAAGGATATGTAACATAGTTTTAATAATTTATTATTCGCTTATAATTATTTACACGTTCGCGTATCTAATTTCTTCTTTAAACCACGTCGTATCTCTTCGATCTGTATAAAATGTTATAGTATCGTGTAAAAGGGCAGGAATAAGAGACAGTTTAAACCCATTATTTTAGCATAAGAATCATTGTATTAAATCATAACGTTTTTATTAAATTCTACGATATATATTTATTAAGTAAAATTTATCCCCTACTTTGTTTAACGTGCAAAACGATTTGGAAGCAAAACGTTTGCCGAATATTGGCAAAAGTTTGTTCATAACAATCGAAAAGAACTTCAATCATTACAATTTCAACTCTAGAACTACCAAAGTGGACAAAATGATCAATTTATAATTTTTTCGAGTAATTTTGCGGATTTGCAATGTTACATTTTTTTTAGAAATTCGAGTGGTTCTTTTAAAATATATGAATAAAAAGTTCATGTTCATTATCGTATATTATAATAAATCTCTTCCTATTCCTTGCATTCTAATTTCTTTGGCTCAATTTTTATACTTTTATAGTCCTCGATAGTTCTAACGTTAAAAATTGCAAGACGCAAGTATTTCGTACTTTGACGATATTTTAAGAGACTGAAGTTCCTTTATCTCCTACGTTCACTTCAATTTCAGCATCGAAAGGTTAAAATGCGAATTTCCAAAAGAAGAAATATTGTTGCTGTGATACGATAGTGTTTTGTTGGCAAAAGATAATCGATCGGAATTCGAGAAAGCAATGAGAGAGAGACAGATTTTGCAGTGTTTTTAGTTTCGTTCTACGTTCCACGGGACGACGATAAACGCCACTTTCGAATTCAGGCATGTACGACGATTGCATATTCCTTTCATTGCGATTCCCGCAGAAACTGTGGCGTATAGTGAACGAATGCAGGAGCGGTGCCATCCGTTGGAGCCTTAACGGCAACACGATCCTTCTCGACTACAAAAAATTTCAGGAACAGTATCTCGACGCGGGCAATTCCATCTTTAAAACGAAAAACATTACGAGCTTCATCAGGCAGCTGAATCTGTATGGTTTCCGGAAAGTGACATCGCATAACAGAGATCCGATTTGTAACTCGCAGAATCCAGACGTTCATGAATTTCTGCATGAGAATTTTCGTACCGGAAGGCCGGATCTCCTGTCGAGGGTGTACAGAAAAACTGCCGGGAAAAGACACTGTCAACGGCTTAATATAAAAAATGCCGCGGAGCAAAGCTTTTTCAGCAAGAACACCGATCACGTGTCACGTTTGCATATGTGTCGGGTAAATAACAATTGGGAATACTCTGTTTTTCGTGGCAAATTAAAAATTATTTTCTTTTTTTTTATATTTTTGTAGAATGAAACAAAAAAAAAAAAAGAAAAATATGTCGCCATCGACTAGCTCTCCCTATAAAATACAAATATGTACGTAAGAAGTACGATTTTTCATGCATTTTCTTTGCAAATAAAAATTTAAACTTTTAAAAGGAATCATGTAACTTATTTTCTTTCAATAAATTAACTTGAAAAGTCATTATTTTAAAGAAAGATATCCTTTAATCAATTACCCTGACATTTGTATTATATTCAGTAGATAAGTTACTCAGAAAATTACAATTGTAATTCTTGTAATTCACAACATTTTTAATTGTTTCCAGTTGGCGTTAACGAAAACGTTAGAACAAATATCGCGAGAATACCAACAAACGCAAAATCGTAAATTAAAAGACGAAAATACTTTAAATTCTCCTGAAAAAGGTAGTGTAATCTAAATCCTTATTAAGTAGTTAGTTAATTGTTGCGCGAGTTACTTTGGAAAATTCTTAAATTTAATAATATTATGTAGAGAAATATCACTAAAAGAAATATTTGTTAATCGATATAAAAAACAACATTCTATTAAAAATTAATCTTAAATGTAATAAAATTTCAGTATTTAATTTTGGTTCATATATACAACAAAACCGTGAAACCACGGTAGATTGGATTACAAAAAATTCGGTACCGATTTCTTCAAAAAAGGATAACTCAAATGACACACAGCTTACTTCCGGTGTTTATATTAAGTGGACAAATTTTTCTAAAAATATTAATTAAAATTCCTATGAAGAAGGAATTTATTTTAGCTATTATTTTAATATTCTAAGTTATCAAAATACTACTATAATATTAAAATTAGAATAGTAATTGCTATTTAAGAAATAAATTTATAAAATAACATTTTCTATTAAGTATGTAATATTATAAAATACAAAGTTCAAAATATAATGCATTTATAATTAAATTCATTTCTTAATAACAAAATTCATTCTCTTTAAATTATGTATTACTACTTGTCGTGGGTTGATTAAGCATACGCTTCTTTTGCTGCTGCATTTTGTGTCTGTTCAAGAAATTTTTAAAAGACTCTGCTTCCATTTTATCCTCTTCGTCTTCCTCTTCTCTTTTAAATGGATTTTCGCTACCTTCTTCGTCTTCACTCGATTCATTACAAGGGTGTTTCAAATATATGTCTGAAATTTCTCTTCCACTATTAACTGTTGTTATTAATGGTACATCTTCTCCTGCAACTTCCCGAGTTGCTTTCTCAAGTTGTTCTTTTTCTGCTCTTTGTCGTTGAGCGTCTCGTTTTACTTTCACTTTCCTCCACATTTTCTTATATTCCCTTTAACAGAAGAATTATTTTTTATTATTTATTATTTAAATAACATGAAATATTTATTACTATTCACTTCATTTACCTTTCATATTCTTCTTTCGCATCTTTAACAAGTTCAAGGAACTTAGTAATACCAGCCCCTGTTGCAGCAGAAACTCCACAACTACGTAAATTACTATAAAATTCATCAAGTGTAAGAGCCATGCTACGTGTTAAATTACTAATGTAACTTGTTTCTGAATCCAAAGCTTCCTGGAATGCCTCAAAATCCTGCATCCAGTCTACTGCATAACTATGTTCTACAATGTCGATCTTAAAACGATATAATTAGAATTATACTATTAGATTAATTGTCGGATAACACGATAGTATTATGCATTTTGACAATTACCTTATTCATAGTAACAATAAATGGTAATTTAGTTTTATAAAGTATAGAACATGCATAAAGCATGTTGGACATAAATGTTACAGGATTCACACTTCTTACAGTATCCAATATGTATACTATAATTGTTGGAAATTCAGATGCTAAAGCTTCTGTTATGATCGTACCACTTGCTGACCACGTGAAAACTTCAATTTGTCCAGGAGTATCCAAAATTACATATTCATGTTCTTTGCCTGCTTTGTCAATAAGTTCTATAATTTGATCAAATTTTGTGGAAAAAAGATTTAAGGCAGTAACAATACCACCATTTGGTCCTAAACTATATTGTTTCATTACTTGCTTGTAATTGACAGTATCTCTAATATCTAAAATTTATTAGGAACTTAATAAAACATTTACAACAAGACAATAATAATATAATATAATATATTACCTATATTAATAGGATAAGGTACTTCTGAACATGCAGGATCCAAATTTATGACATATGGTTTTCCTATGTTATACAATATTGAAACAAGTTTTTGTACAAATGTAGTTTTTCCAGATCCAGCCATTCCAAGAATAATGATACATGTTGGCTTCTTCTTCTCGCTAATATCAGTTTGAATAGATATATCAGGCTGCGCAGATATATTTTCTTTAGAAGGTTCAGAAGTATCCATAGATTCAGACATATTGAACACTGTAAACATTTTTAAGAATTTTTGTATATTCAATTATACTATATTAAATTAACTTAAATGTAATAATTTTAATAATTCATTCACTAACCTATATTACATATATTATTATATTGAATTATAATAATATTCTACAGTAATATTCTATTTACTTTAATAATCAAGTCTTTTCAATGTATGAAAAAAAGTTCACTTCTTCACCTTACTCACTCTATTAGTAATAGACGACTAACAAATATAAACCGAATGAAGTTTTTATATAGAATGATGACAGAGTACCAACTAATTTTTTTGCGCATGCCCAAATGTTAGCCTCATAGAAATAAAAAAAAACGATCTCTAGTGATTTTGTGCAGAATATTTTGGTAATATTATTACACTAGGATTTAACTCAACTTTTTATGCATCATACAGAAGATCACATAAAATACTTTTAACGAGATTTTAAATTTTTGTCTAATAAAAAAAAGAAAAAAAATTTTTAGACATTAATTCGTCGATATTGAATTAATTATTTAATCGAATTTTTGTAGAAAACAATATTTATTTACATTTATTATTAATTATACAAACTGAAATTTTAAAATTCTGCAAATTTTATAAAAACTAATTTCCTGACATTATAATTTTACATTTAGATATTATAAAAATCTATAATAATCATGTAGAATGTATTTATTTTTTTTTTTTCTTTTTTTAGTAAGTTTAAACTATTTTAATGCTATTTTCTTAAATTAAATTTGAACAAAAGAATTTTTTGTTTTCTTGTATAATTATGTTGTTTTGAAATGATCATCTGTAAAAGTAGTATAAATGTGTCCTTCACTTGTAAGGAAGTCGATTATATCATCAACTATTGGCAAAATATTCTTTGGAACACGATTCTTGAGAGTTTTTCTTTCTATTCCATTAACAGTGTCATTTTCCGCTTGAATAATCCTAAAGACTGTGATTTGATCCTTAGTTAACCCAAGGTTATCATCTGGCATAGGAACATCAGAATCTTTATATTGATCATTAGAGGTTTTTTGAATATGTAATGTTACAAAGGTCACTTCCAATAAATGACTAGTTAGTTCATTTAAAGTAGTGACCGGGCAAATCTTTAAAATTAATATATGTTTTGTTTCATTTTGTTCCCTTATGTGTCCAAATACTCGTACATAAGTATTTAAATTAATTACTGGCTCTGATATATTTCCTACTGCTAACCATTGGAAACATGTAATACAGCCTGTAACAATTAATATTAATCAATATTAATTCTACAATGCTTATCATAAGATTGATTAATACAAAAGATTGTATTAACAATAGCAACTTGTTTGTAAGATTTAATAAATCGCAAAATGTTCTTCTTTGATACCTGTTTCATCTTCAATTTCATATGTCACTTTTGTACTACTTTTTTCTATATGGTTTGTAATTCCTATGAAAGTAACAATGCTACCTTCCAAATTTTCAGATTGCATTAAGTGCTGAATCATAACAGGGATTATTTTGTTGATTCTCTTAGCACTCCTTTTATTTTCATCATTTGAATTCTGACTATCATTCAAAAATCCCCCTGATGTACTCACAACGCTATTATCGAGGTTATTCCACATTATGAGTAATTAATGAGAATGTAAATTATTACGAATAAATTCGTAGTAATGGGTGCTGTAAATATATTACAAAATATCGTTTAATAATTCAATACAAATAATAATATTTACTATTTGCTTTAATTATCAATCGTACGTTACGATGTGCGTATATACATAGACCTTAAACCGTGTATTCACAGATTGCACTTTAAGCATGTATCACACGCGAATACAAATCTTTTGTGTAATCTTGCCTGCGTTTCTGATGCAAAATATCTTTTCGTCTTATATATATAATTGATGGTATTATAGTGGTAATATAATGATATTATAATAGAATATAATATTATTAGTATGAAAAATAAATCAGAAATATACAATATAGGAACTCTTCCTACAATACTAACATCTCAGAAAAATACACCAGTGTGCAAAAATAACCTCAAGAGTACTACAATTTTAATTTTGTTACTAGAATCAATATTACTTTTTAAAATATAAAAATATAATTTTTTAATGCACACATCTTTATTATACTTTATTATAATAACTAATAATTTTACAATGCTCTTTGGTAACCAAGTGTCCCTGATTTAAATAGAAATAATTAAAGTTTAAATAAATATAATTAATTAGACAACATATTAGCTAGTGTTAACCAATTAAAATTGACTAAATACATAAAAAGAAACAATCTTTTTCATTTCATACAAATTTATCCAATTTATTAATTTCATACAGTTTAATTAATTAATTACTTAAATTACATGATTAACAAGTAATAAATTTATTCATGTACAATGTAAGAAGCAAAATACAAATAAAAAATTCTGATATTAAAAGGGGACAAAAGGTAACATTTTTTAAAATTAAGTTCAATTTTATAACACTTTTCATCTATAAGACGATTTATATATATATAATTTATATATAACCATCACATAAACTCAATGCTCAATATAAATATAACTTAAAAATTTATATGAAAATAACGAACAATTTCAATAAGCTTTGAGATAATAAAAAATTATACTTCAATTTTTACATAATTATAAATAAAATCAATAATGATCAATTAAAAAGTATTCCTCAATATTATTTGCATATCCAAAGGTAATAGAATTTGAATTTAACCCAATTTTATTAATCCAATGTGGCAATTTTATCAAATATACTGTTTAGTTATTTTTGAAATATGGTTCACATAAGACGGCAGTGTGTTCTATTTTAACATGAAAATATCAAACAAAAATTGTGCATGTGAAATATTACTAAATTATTTTTTGAAATATTACTGAATTACTTTTATGAATTTAGTATAAAATTAAAACATTTGATTTGCAATAAACAATTCAGTCGGTATTTATAATTGATTAGGACTAATAACTATGTACACAATAAATGAATTGGTTTTAAAAATCAGTGAATAGTTGGATGGACATTCTTTGTACAAGAATTTTCGTATAATTTCAGCTTTTTAAACTGCTTAAAAGTTTTAGCGTAATTTGAGCTCGAGATTTTAATGATCTGCAACTTTGTCCCAAACTATCCTGTCCATGTTTAATTATCGTCACAGACAGATCATCTTCGTCGTTACTTAATCCTGTATGTAACTGATATTTCTCAAATTCTGTTAGTACCGAATCTAAATTTTGAACCCTTTCTTCAAGTAACATTGCTATTTCTTTCCAACTCTGTAACATAGTAAAGGAATAAATTAAAACATTACCTGAGTTAAAAGTAAACAATTTACATCGACTAATTCAATTAACTTACATAATCATTTACATTATCATTTAATGAATGATTAGATGTTATTTGTTTGTTACATTTCTTCTTATTCTTCTTTTGTGAAGTCTTAGGTTGTAATTGTGTTGCACATAGAGTACATATGGCACTAATAATTGCAAGAGTTTCACTGCACGTTGACGCTCTTAATAAAAAATGTTTGAAGGACATTGGAATTCTCTTTTCAGGAATATCTATCGTCTGAAGACATGGTGAAACTCGCAGCATTTGAATACATTCGAAATCAGGATAAAGTGACTGAGCAAGCGATTCTGCGAATCGAGCGATTGTCTGCAGTTGTTCGGAATAATGAGCTTCACGTAACCTTTCAACTGCATCCATAGGAACTAACATTCTACATGATTTGTTCTTCTTTCCCTCTGATTCAAATTTTTGAAGAATCAAAGGAATTTGTTCATTATCCAGCTGTTTTAATTCGTTAGAAAACCGTTTAAGAAGAGAGGAACTATCAGATGCTACACACGCTGCTAATATTTTTAAAATTAAATCTCGCACTGTTAGTAATCTTAACATGCACATGCGCGTCTCTTCTTGCATTCTAATATCTTGGTCATTTTCCGTAAATGGTTCCCATCCAGGGACAACCTGTTTAAATAAAATATTATTAATTCTTTTAAATTTTAGATATTTAGACTTATTTTAGAAATATAAATTTAGAATTACCTCCAAGTCACGATTATCTCGTAATGAATTTAATCGGACAGAATCTTCGATTAATTGTATATCCATATTATCTAATGTAGAAATCAGAGATGTAGAACTATTGCACCAACTTAATTCCAATAACATCTTATCTACATTAGTCATAACAAAGTGCAAAGAATTTTCCAAACGTTCTTTCAATTCCACAAATTCTTGAATCTTTACAAAACTTCCGTATTTATAGGCAAATGTTAAATGATCTGCACTCTAATCATATATTATAATTGAATTAGATAGAATTTCTTATGAAGAATATTGTATAATATGCAAATACATACATCTTTGTAATTTGCAATAAAAAATTTGGTAGTATGATCTAAAGTTATGGAAGCTAATGAAAGATGGCCAAGTGGAGCAAGTAGTGGTGAGTGTAAATAGCCCAATGAATCTAACTGAATATGTTTAACATCCAATAATGTAAAAACATGATCAGCTGCACCTATTAATCCTGCTTCCAAATAGATTCGTATTAATAGAATTTTTATATAAAAATTAGCTGGACTCGATAATAAACCACGTTCTAATAGTTCCATTGCCCTATAAAAATACATTATTACTTTTACTAAATTTCTGCCATAAATACTTTCTTTTAATAATAGAAAATAATTACCTATAAAGATAAACTGCATCATTTGTATTGCACCATAATTCATGTAATAAGTGCGTTGCTAAAAGTATATAAGAATCCGCTGGACAAAAGTCTGTTGGTAATCTATCTTGGATAGGACATAATTCATTACCCTTTTTATATAATTTACATAACCGTTCTACCAATTGTTTTTGCTTATTTATATCACTATTCGGAGGGTGATGAAAACCACAAATGCGACGTAATTGTTCTAAGTGTATATGTCTCTGCATTTGCTGTATAGTAATTGGAAATCCTTCAGGTTTAACACCAACATTTTCTTCTATCTAAAAACATAACAATGTTTGGAATAAAATGTACAAATGAATTGTTGCTTTTATCTGAATAGTACATTTTATTAGTTACCTTTTGTATCAAATCCTGCTTGCCTGTAGGTGTTAGTAAATGTAGATATAAACGCAAATCTCCAACTACACAACTTTTTTCTCCAAATTGTGAAAAATACTGACACATTAAATCAATTGGTTCGGTAATATTTTGAATAATTTGACTACTTTTAGTAAGCTTTAATAATTCAAATTTTGCAAGATAAGGAGCTCTAAATTTTTTCTCTGACGAGGTTATAATTTTACTAAGAAAATTTAAACATTCTTCTGGCTTTTGAAACTCAAGAGCCGCAAGAAGATAGTCTTGATAATATGTCCAATTGTCAACACTATTTATAATACACAAGTTGTATAAGACATTAGAATATTATTACTTAATATGCACGTACACTACATTAAACTCACTTTTCACTGATGAGTTCCTTATATGCATTAGCTGCTTCAGGGAAACGTTTCAATTTTAATAAAAGTGCTGCTTTGTGTTGTGAAACAGATGAAAGATGTGAAGCTAATGGTCCTGATAAAACATTTAACATTTCTTCACTTTTACCTTGAAGTTCTAATATCATTAAGTAAAGCTGTACTTCTTGTTCTGCTTCCAGTTTTCCTTCTTTAATTAATTTCAATACCTAATTTTTATTAAAAACACTATAAAAACTACCAATAAAATACTTGCCATACCAGAATAATTTTATAATAATTTACAAACCATTCTTTCTGCTAAAGGTAAAGTAATTTCTTTTGCTAATTTTCTATCTGAATGTATAGCTTGCATAACTACACTCATCACAGCCCAAAAATAATAAGGATTTTTTGGTTTTAATTTATATAAGGCAAGTGCTGTTTGTTGTTGTTTCTTGTAATCTCCAAGACGAACATAAGACATGAAGAGATGTGTTAACAATTCTTCATTGCTAGGATCTACTTTAACTGCAGCTTCATACACTTCACTAATTTTATCAGCTATAAAAAATTCAAAGTGATATTTAATATTTATAAAAATTTTACGCATATGTGACAATTACAATTACTTATAAATATAAAAAAATAACGGACTGAAATTTAAACTTACGTTGATGTCTCTCTCTATAACAAATACTCATGACCTGAAGAGTACAATCCTCATAAGGAATCTCTGAACGTACTTTATCCATAATAGTTTGACATTCATTTTCTTTACCAAGACGTAACAAAGCCAAAGCTTTGAGTACCCTGGCACACTGATTGCTTGGCTGCTTTTTGAGCACTTTATCTGCTTCTTGAAGAGCTTTCTTATTATTTCCATTATCCAACCAATCTGAAATCCATAGCGCAATAACGTTACATAACCTCATTGCCGGTCAAGTACTGAAAGTGCATTCTCTTATAATTTAAAAAATGTAACGTTTTTCTTATTGATATTAATATTAATAGTATACTTACCATATATCGGACGTAAACGACGTTCGTTAACGGTATTGTCCGCACGGGTCTTAGACGCCATGATACTTTTTATGGTAATTTTAAATCAACAAACCAAAGTTTTCCTTCATCCACTACATGTTCATACCATAAGGCATATTTACATTGATTTTTTACGTATTACAATTTTTTATAACTTCAAAAAAAAATTGAAACTTTGCTAACGAACTGACATTTTCAATTTAATAAAAAACATGAATATTTTTAAATTCATACAAAATATTTTTTTCCATACGAATATTGAATAAATTACTAAACTTAAAATAAATATTTCAATGGTGTTTATGAAAAATTTTATTATAAACACTTGATTCAGCTTTTATTACACAGTTATTCAATGTTATTCAATGATAATTCTATTTAAAATTTGTAAATATTATATTGAAGAAAGTCACCTCAAAGGTAACAAATGTGCACAACTTTACCTTAATGATATTTTAATTCGAGATAAAAATAATTAGAAGCATCAAATTGCAGCTGTTTGTACTAAAAACAAAAAACGATTGATATTATACGTATAAAAGATAAAGTTCGCGCCAGATGTATTCGAGTAAAGTAATAGAATATTCATAACCATATTGTGATAGCTCAAGAGGGATACGCAATAATAGTTAATTGAAAATGTACTTTTCCACTTCATTCCATGGCGAATCTAATCTGCGTTATATATGTATACAATTTATATTTCGCGCGTAAATTGATTTGTATTGCAACGTTTTTGATAATCGATTGCTTATTGATATAAAGTTTAATATTCTATAAAGATATATCGGATTCATTAATTCAATGTGGTCGACAAATTTGGACAGTAGTATAAATCCTCAGGGTGGATTTTCGGATAATTTGAAAGATGAAAATCAAAGAAAAGACAGCAAAAAACAAACTATTGTTCCTGCTATGATAGGAAATTTACTCTCTTTTGATTCCATTGATGAGCCAAAAATATGGAATCTGTCAGCACGTATGTTTATGATCGTCGGATTAGTGCGTAGTGTTGAAGAGACAGCAACAAAAATATCATATAATGTTGAAGATGAAACAGGTTTAATTTAATAACTATTTACACCGTTTTCTAAACTTTTTTCTTTTTTGATTCTCTGTTTTTTTTTCTATGTTAACATATTTAGGTACTATCACTGCACTCAAATGGTTAGAAGTGAACAAGAAAGAACTTACAATACAAACGAACACATATGTTCGCATAGTTGGTTTGCTTAGAGAACAAAATGATAAGCGACATATTTTAATCTTACGAATGTCGCCACTACAAACCTTGAATGAATTAACAAATCATATTCTTGAAGTTACTTATGTTACATTGAAAGCTAAACTAATGGCACAAAAATGTGGAATAGTTGATGAAGGGAGAAATGCTGAAGATTTTTCATCAAATGAATCTGCTACTGGAATGTCAACAGGACAACATTTAGTTTATAAACTTATTCAGACACAAAACGATACTGAATCTGGTATTGAAAGAACAGAAATTAAAGAAAAAGTACCAGAAACCCTTTTACAACATGTAGATGATATCTTAGAATTTTTAGTTTCCGAAGGTCATATATACACAACAAGTTCAGATGATCATTTTAAAACAATCTGAATAATTAATATAAGTTGTAATCTTATATTTTTTATAAATCTCTTGATCTTTTTGTTTGATCCTTATATTAAAAAGTTTTTTTTATAAAAATCCCTCTATATACATATATTTCAATAAGCAGTATAACTATGTCCATTCTTTTTACTCTTTGTAAAGTAATAAAAGAATTAAAAAATTTTTTAACAATGCATTTTCTGTGTTATTAAAAATCGTAGTAAATTATATCTTATAATTATATCCATATATTATAGTATTATTTCGCATCTGAAGATAGTAACAAGTAAAACAAATTTGGTATGTAAAAATTTATATTTTTTTTCTAATCAATATTTATTTAAAAAAAAAAATAGGAGGTACAACTATTTTAACATAAAATTTTACTTCATTGTAATTATATTTGTATAAATTCTTTGTGACAGTTCTAATCTAAATATTAACTTTTCATTGCTCAAAGTCAGGTTTGACAACCTTCATTCATTCAACCATTCGTGATCATTTCCAGCTATTAACGTGTACAATTAATATAAATACATTTTATTTATATGATATTTATAAAAACAAAGAAACAAAATGAGATACGCACAACTTGTAATGGGACCAGCCGGTAGTGGAAAGGTATTATAATTTTTATTATAACTTATAAAATTTAGTTAAAGATATAACCTTTTAGTTTGACAATAAGATATAATCACGTGTAAACAGTTTTGAATAAATTTTAAACATACAATAAAATTAAAAATTAGAAAATTACGATCGATATAATTATTAAGCAATATACGTATTATTTTTTTTTTTAGTAAATATTCTAACTTGTATCACAAATTGATGTATAATTATTTTTTTACATAGTCTACTTACTGTTCTGCTATTCAACAACATGCAGCTAGTGAAAATAAAACAATAGATGTGGTAAATTTAGATCCAGCAGCAGAATATTTTGATTATAATCCCTTAGTCGATATAAGAGAATTAGTACATTTAGATGATGTTATGGAAGATGATGAATTAAAATTTGGACCAAATGGTGGGCTTGTATTCTGTATGGAGTAAGTTTATGAAATGATTTTACTTTGTTTAGAGATTGTAATGAAATTTATATTTACAGTAAAACTTTATTTTTGTTAAAGGTATATAATAGAAAACTCATCTTGGTTAGAAGAAAAATTAGGTGACGTGGATGATGATTATATTATCTTTGATTGTCCAGGGCAAATTGAATTATATACACATATGACAATCATTCGTCAATTAATAACTATGTTACAAAATCTCAATTTCCGTATATGTGGAGTATTTTTGATTGATAGTCAATTTATGATTGATGGATCAAAATTTTTATCAGGTACAATGGCTGCACTTAGTGTGATGATCAATTTAGAATTACCACATATTAATATCCTTAGCAAAATGGATTTATTATCAAAAAGTGCAAAAAAGCAATTAGATAAATATTTAGAGCCTGACCCACACAGTTTATTAGCAGACATAAAAAAAGATCCTTGGAATGAAAAATACAAGAGCCTTTCTGAAGCAATAGGAAGGCTTATAGAGGACTATAGTTTAGTGCGTTTTTATCCATTAAATATAAAAGACGAAGAAAATATGGCAGATATTAAACTGACGATTGACAATATTATTCAGTATGGAGAGGATGCTGATGTTAAAATTAGAGATTTTGATGAATCTATTGAAGATGACGATAAAGATATAAATTATGATATAAATACATAAAAATAGCTTGATTAAATAAAGTAGTTTTATCAAACATTCTTTGCAATTTATTTTCTAACACCAGTGAAATCGAAAAAAGATAAAATAGAAAAAATTTACTTCATTAATTTAATTATCATTAGCTTACGAAAATATCTGTACATGGAAATGATAGAATATTTACACCATAAAATTCATCGTTCTAAATGTGCATTTATCGTATTAAACACAAACATTAGGCATCCAAATGCCAATGTTGATCCATGAGCCACAATAGCACTTCCTTCCCATCCTTCTTCTAAATGATGTTTGTCTTTTGTCTCGTGTTTTGTTAAATTACATTTACACAATACTCTTTTATTCTCTACTTGTTCTTGAGTTAAAACCTTTTCTCTTATTATAGATTTCACTGCTTCTGTAGTTTCCTGTTCCTTAGTCATTGATTTCTCGTCAGCTTCCTCTTTTACTTGTTCTATCACGCTTGTATAGTTACAAGAATACAATACATTATCAACTACTGTTCCATATTCACTATAATTTAATAATTCATAACGTTTGGTACTCTGTAAATAAAATAATATTAAGTAAAATAGTATATTATATACAATATTTAATGAAAATAGTATTAAAATAGTTATTTATAATTACCTCGTCGAAAAAAATAATAGCGTGTTTTGAAGATGTAAAGCTACAGTTACCATAATTAGATAAAACTAAATCACAATTTGGGCCACTTCCAATAGTTAGTGTTTTATGAATCATAAAAGCTGGTGGTTTAGGTTTACGATTTAAAGAAAACAATGCTGCTCTAGCCTTTGTTTGGCAATTAATAGTCTCATAATTTTCTCCATCAGGGTCTAAAATTTGTTCTAATCGTTGTAATGCTAATGCCTCTAAAACTGGTCTTTCAAGTAACTGTACACCTTCTTTTATATCATAGCCAAATCGTTCTACATAACTCTCAGTACCAATATCATTATTATATCTATTTTCAGTTACATTTTCTTCTTCTACTTTCTCCTCATATTTCGTACTACTTGTTTCCTCTTGATTAATTTTATCCTTTATTTCATTGTTACTCTCAATTTCCTTTTCTATTTCCATTGATTCTTCAATTCTTTGTACTTCTGTATTTTCTTTCTCTATTTTAGGAAGTTTGATATCATTATTTTCTATATCTTGCACTTTAATGTTCTTAACAATTGGTTTTATAACAGCATCATGATAAAATTGTACAGAATCTAATTCTGGTGGATGTTCATAATGAAATTTTACAGACCAGGGTACCTTTACTCTTGTCCGACTTTCTAATTTGATTTTTGTCCGAAAAAGTGGATTTGCAGCACGTGCTTTACGCAAAAAGTCTAATTTTACTGCGTGTTGATCTATACGTTGATTGGCATATTTATCCCAAAGCTTAATACGTTCAGTCACTCTACACGATGTTAATAAATTTTGATCTATGAAATGATTTGGATGATTAGGACACATCCATCTTCCAATGGGAAAAGCAGTGAGTGGTGGATCCAAACAGTCTTGATGAAAATATAATGGACAGTAATCACATGCAATCAATGGTGCTTTTCTGCAACTACGGCCACATTCAAAACATAAACGTGCCGGTAAAGGTACCATTAAATTATTATCTAAACAGTGACTTTTCCCCACTGAAAAGAAACATCTTATAATTGAATATAAATTATGTAACACGAAACCTATAAAAATAATATATATACCATTATTATTTCCGCTTTGTTGTTTTCCTCTTCTACCTGAAACATAATCTACTTTATTACTACCAGGGAACATAATTGGTAATTGCAATTCTTTAGGTAATTCAAATTCCCTGGGATTAACTAAAGATGCTGCCAAAGCTAGCACTTCCAACGCAGATTTTTTTTTGTTTTTCTCATTTCCTTTAGTATCTAAAAGATTCCTCTTTGATGCACATCGACAAGCATAACACAACCACTCTCCATTAGGAATATCTGCTGGATCCACTGCTGGATAACTATAAATGATTATGTATAAAGAATTCAATTCAAGCAAAGAAAAAGTTGGATTTAGTAACCATTGTTATGTTTAGAAATAACATTGTTAAAACAAAAAATATTAAATCTCTTTCATTTTGGAATATCCAAACTCACTGGCATTGCAAGTGATATGATGCAGGACATTTATCACAACAAATAAGTTCTCCTCCATCTCGACAGGCATCACAGATATCACGATTGTGTCCCCGACCTCTTCTTTTAAAATACGGATGCTTTTTCTCCTCCTTATCCTTTTTACTTTTTGCTGTTTTAGAATCTTCCGATACAGGTGGTGCTATAAGAGCTTGAATTTGCTAGTAATACAAAAACCAATTATATAAAAAGAAAATATATAAAATATATAAACGTATTTAAGAAAATTATTAAATATAATGCAATTTTTCATACATAAACGAATTATATTTCTTTTTTACTTACTGGCATTAAACCACCAATCATTGGGAAACCATATTCTACAGTACCCATGTTGAAATTAACTCTTAATTCTTGATGTTATAAAATTTTTCTATTAGCCATGTAACATTTATTTAATTATAAATCATATATCTATCCTCCCTTTTCATTTTTCATATCTAAATTGGTTATGTATAAAACTTAGAAAAACAAAATATTAGATTTATACACTTAATCCTTACAAGACACTGGAGATTGTGCTGTCCCCTGTATAAGAATTCAAAATTTTAAAAACATTTACACAAATTCTTTAATATATACATTTATCATTTTATATCTCGTTTTTGACATAAATATAGATATTTTACAAATTCATATTTTCATACTATTATTCTTACAAAATAACTGAAACGTTCTTGAAAACATACACTTCAAACGTTCAAAACTGAAGTATCTGTACTTGTTATACTTATTTCTACATGCTTACTATACTTCTTCCTACATATTATATGCTTCTTATTATACTACATACTAGTATGTGGACTATAGTATATAGAATATAGTATACAGTATATAGTGTGTAGTGTATAACATATATCTTATACTTCTTTTAGAAAGAGGATGTTGATATTTATAGAAAATAATAAATTACTATACTAGATCTTTCCACGAAAATTGATAGATCAACAAAATATAAAATTACTTAATATATCATTTTCCCTTTAATTCTATTTGTAATGAAATAAGAATATTAATAAATATTACAATACAAAACAATATTAATAAAAGGACATCGATATATTTATACATGTGTATAAAAAAATTTATTGAGATCATATATACATATAAATTAATTAAAGATTGATAAAATTAAAATTTCTTAATTAACTAGTAATAAAACATTGGTTTTACCACTGATGTAATAAATTATCATTTCTTTTTATTACTTTAATTAAATTGAACTTAAATTTGAATATTATGAAAAATATTGCCTATTGCGCCACTAATTGTATTGGTCCATTAAGTGAGAAGTTTACTGCTTAACCTATATTTATTGTTTGTGAATTTGTCTTGAAATATTTAAAGAACTTGAGATTTAAACGAAAAAAAAAAAAAAAATGTAGATACGTATGCATTTTATTCGCATTTAAATAAATAAAATTATCAAAATATCTAAAGATTTTAAGAAATATCTAAAATTTGCATAGAAATTGTACAAAATCTAATTATACAAAAAACTTAAAATGTTTCGAACACTTATCAACACTTCAATTAAAAGACAAATACATGGGAATGCGGAGATAGTAGAAAATTGCAAGGAAATCAGAAATCGTAATCCACGAAATTTAGAACGTTTAAGAATTGCGAGGAAACCTATAGGTTATGTTCTTGACAAATGTGAACGTGGATATTGGCATAAGTAAGACAATCATTCTAATATAATTTTTTTTTGTCGTAACATTAACGATATATTTATTCTAAATTTTAAGATGTTACTTTAATATTTTATTTGTCTAATAGATTGAATGTATCTGCCAGTAAACGTTATGTCATGGCAGAAATTTGTCATTTTGAAAATGGTCAAATTATTACAGCATCAAGTAAAGAATGGGGATTGAGAAAACAACTATATAGGTTTGTATGCATTATAAATGTAGTTACTTGAAATGTCAACTAGTAAAAAATAATGACAAAGATCCATCCACATAACAGATTATCTGACTAACTTATGAAAACTTTATGAAAATAGATAATAGCTATATCAATTTACTTATCATTAATGACTATATATACTTTCAATTTTATTAAGTTTAATTTTTAAAATTCAAAATACAAGAGGTATCATACAATTTATGTTTTAGTACAATTGATGTCGTAGCATATAAGTTTGTGGGACAGTTACTTGCACAACGTTGTTTAGAAAGTGGTATATCAGAAATTTATGTAAATAAAGCATTTTTGGCTGCTGGAAATAAAGTTCAGTCATTAATAAATGCAATGGTAGAAAATGGAATTTGTATAGAAGAACCAGAAAGATATAAACATCCAAAACCTAATTCTTGGAACTATCCAGAAAAACCTTGGGAAACGTATGAATAGTTTAATGTAAATATTGTATAAAAGTGTTATTATATAAAACTATTATATAACAATAAATATACAATGCACAATTTTTGTGTTATGTATCATTTTTAATTAATAAAAAATTTTGAGTTATGTATTTTATACATTACAGTCTGTAATTTACAGAGAAAACTAAAAAACAACAATTTTAGAGTTTTATTTTTTAAGATTTGGAAGAAATTTTGAGAAAGGATATTAAAACACAAATATCCTTTAAATGGAACAGAATATTATTGTTGAAGCACTTCTATTAATTGAAATATAATGCAAGTTTGTACAGAATAGATTATACAAAGATAGAAATAAATAATAATTATATTAATATTAAATAAAATTTAATTTACGACAAATATAATAAACTTACTGTACTCAATAATATTACATAAGTACATATGTAATTGTGCAGGATTTATTATTACTAATCCTAAAAAGTAAATTAATACTATATATTAGGCTGACTTATTTTGTGCGCTAATAAAATTATTTTTTTCCAAATATAATGTTATACTAATAATTATGTCATAATTGTAAGTAACAAAATATTTAAATAGTTCGGAAAATTTATAAAATTTTCTATTTTTTTCTTTTCTATTTATGAAATCACAGATCACAAGTCATTTATGAATCTTAATTTGGTTGAGTTAACTTTATAAACAATTGTATAAAAATTTATTAAATTCTTATTTTTACCATGTTATTGGATTTTGCAAGATGCACTTATATTTATTGAGAAACTTTGTAGAAAATCCTGCACATGTAGAAAAATAAATTTATGTATGTTACATCTTAAATGATAATAATACTTTAGTCTAAAAATTAAAATTAAAATTTTGAATACTGATAATATTACATGTATTGTTGTAGATCATTCAGTTGTTTTCAGAATTTTAAACAGCTATTTGTATTCAATTTCGAAAATTTATTTGTATTTAAAATTTTTGATCAGAAAAATCGATAGCAACATAAAATAAAAAATTCGCGTGCATTTTAAAATAAAATTTTTTAAATGATGATAATAACGAGTAAGCATTTTACTAAAATATTTTACTAAACGTTTGCTTTAATTTTAAGTGTATATACACAGCGTTATACTTCTTAATAATTTATGTCTGGCTAAAATATGAGAAAAAAACGTATCACGAGAGAGGTACATAAATTTCCCTTACGAAAGTATCAAATAAGATGAATCGAAATTTTATTTGCAAGTATGAATATCTACGCTTTTAACACAAGTTTTGCATTCAACGTAGCAACACCAATGAAATTTGCACTCGCATCGTTCTCTAATTGTCGTTTTCTGCGTGTTGTATCCCCGACCGCAGCAAAGAAGATTACATCCATCCATACCGGATGATGTTCTGTTGCAAATTCTCCCGTGTGTACCTAATAAAGATTCACTCTCGTTAAAGAAGGGAATTTTGTAGAAGCACAGTACATAATTTGTATGTGATTTTTATTTAATATTTTCGAAAGTCAATTTAAAAATAGAAACGAATAATAAATCGACCCTTTAGAATTTTGTTTTACCTAATGATCCAAGTGTCTCGTTAGGAAGACAATAGTTTGGAGATTCGTCCAAATAAACTAAATCATTTGCCGTAGGTAATGAAAATCGTGGGTCTCGCATAGACAAACGACCACGTCTGTTTACTCGGACCTCCGTTGCCCCGTCGTATTTATCCAAAAGGAAATCACCTGCACAGATGATTAATACTTGTGATACTATTATCATTTCATTCACGGTAACGTCAACATTAATTACATTGAAAGAAACGTACCAATTTCTCGGAAGGAAGCGAGTTGCTGCCAGCAAGTGATTAAGCTGCAGCTTCCAGAAACTCCGTGACACTTGCACGTTACTTTGGATCGTTTTATAACAGCCTTTGGAGAAACATTTATCAATTTCACAGTCATTGTCGATCTTATTTAATAAAACAAGAATAAGAGAAGGTAAAATTTACCCTACGTCCAGCCTCGTTATTATGAAGATTCATCAGGCTTCTGCCTTGTTCTCTGCTACCCCTTTTAAAGCTCCGTTCACGTTCTTTCACATCGACGAATGCCTGTGTAAATCTGAGAAAATGAACTTGCAATGAAAGCTTTGACTTTTAAGCAATTGATACAATTAATAAAAAAGAAAGAAAAGTTGCAGCAATTACTTGTAACCGTATTCGAGATTGTCCCCGCAACCACCCCAGATCCAATCTCGCTTTAGATCTCTGGGTCTACTGCTTCTGGAACAGCCGCACGAGGACAATTGCCCGTCTCTGCACGATCGACTAATCGAATACACCACTCCTGCAGCTGAGATTGCATGTACGAACGCAGTTTCTCTGCTCGCTGATGAAAAAAAAAAAAAAGAAAAAACTTTGGAATAGTTCGTTCAAGAGAAAAGAAAGAAAGAAACAAAAGAATTTATAATGCAAATAATTTAGTATAAGAGAGTTTTACCTATTCTGAGCATAGGTCCGAACACGGATTCATCAGAGACCGTGGAACAGTTCCACCTTCGATCGTGAAACTGATGCTGGCACTCGAGAATTCCAAATTTTGCACCCTTCGCCACACTCGGCATGTGATCCACGGATAGTTGGCATAACTTTCCCTGGCCCTGCGAGAGCCCTTTCAGTCCGTGACAAATGCTCGACGCAGCGACGTCGTAAGTTTCTATCATCTGAGCGGTTTCCAGTTGCGGGAAGTGTTGCAAGCCAATATTTCTGAAACGATCGAGGGGAAAGTACAGCGAATGAATGGACATCATTTAATTGACCTAAATTTCAACGTAATTTGTACGACCATCACAAAAGCTTCTGACAAGCTTTTAGCAAGTAACTTTTAGAGCAGAAGCTCCCAAAATTACTCGTTAGTGACACTAGAACTACTGACGAGTGAAGTATAAGATTTGTAGCAAGGAAATCAATCGGAGGAAGAAAGAGGAAAAAATTGTAATGCAATAAATTGACAGAACAGAAGCTTCTGGTTGTTTTACTAAAAGTCATTCAAGTCTCTAAAAATACATTGTTGTATAAATGTATAAATATTGTTATATAAATTATATATATTTGTTATATAATATATAAATATATAAGGCTTCTGTTTGTTTTATTAAAAATTATTCAAGTCTCTAAAAATACATTGTTATATAAATATGTAAATATTATGTTATATAAATTATATATATTTGTTATATTATATATAAATATATAAAGCTTCTGTTTGTTTTACTAAAAATCAATCAAGTCTCTAAAAATACATTGTTATATAAATGTATAAATATTATGTTATATAAATTATATATATTTGTTATATTATATATAAATATATAAAGCTTCTGTTTGTTTTACTAAAAATCAATCAAGTCTCTAAAAATACATTGTTATATAAATGTATAAATATTATGTTATATAAATTATATATATTTGTTATATTATATATAAATATATAAAGCTTCTGTTTGTTTTACTAAAAATCATTCAAGTCTCTAAAAATACATTGTTATATAAATGTATAAATATTATGTTATATAAATTATACATATTTGTTATATTATATATAAATATATAAAGCTTCTGTTTGTTTTACTAAAAATCATTCAAGTCTCTAAAATACTATTATAATTAATTATTATATAAATGTATAAATATTATGTTATATAAATTATATATATTTGTTATATTATATATAATTATATAACATATAAATATATTATAAATATATAAAAATAATAAATTGATCATTTTGGTAGTTCTACCGTTAAATATCCGACGGCCCTTACGAAAATACAGAAAAAACTCGAGGGAGTTACGCCGATTATGTGAATTTGGAGCAAAGGAACCGTGGGCGAGGAACGGTTCTCCGCGCCGATTTTTAATGGCACATTTATGAGTCAACCGAGCGAGATGATGGAACGACGCCGTCATGGACAGAAGTCAGGGGATCTCTAACTGGGGAGCTAACCAATCTGAAATTCGAAACGGGTGCTCGTAAAGGTTTTACCAACGATACGCGTAAGAATGGGTGTACACACTCCGATGCTCTAATCGGCGATCGAGCGAGCAAAATGCGCTCTAGCGGAGGATTGATGGGGGCGAGATGTACGATGGGAAACAATAGGAAAGTTCTGTATCCGATATATTTCAAGAGCCGTTGGTAAAAAGGATTGACAAGTAATCAAGTTTCGAATTTAGCGAAGTATGCCAATTGTCCAGCTTCTAGATCCGCAATTTTCTAGATCACTCTGCATAGAATCTATCGTTAACGTCTTCCGACGTTAAACAAATTGTAACATCCTGAATGTTTCGATTGCTTACTGCAGTTTCTAATCCCTTTTACTAGGGTGAAAGTCGCGCGTAATACATACTGTTACAGCGCTCGAAGATATCACTGGATAGTAGATGTTTAAAGGAAAATTAAAAGCATATCAGGTCAGAGCGAGCTTGAAGCGGCGAGTCATTTGAATTTAAAGAAATGAATTTACTAATCTGAACGGGGGTTTCAAAGTATCACGATGTTCAGCCATATTCGGCCTTAGAGTACGGCGGAGTGTATAATAGACTGCATTAATATTCTGGAACACGTTTTGGCCGTGATATATTATCAGCTTTGCGCTCCCCTAAAACAATGACGCAGGGAATCACGGAAGGGGGGGGGGGAAGGGGCGATAATATTTCGAAGGATCCTGCCCACGCGAATTCATGGAGCACTTCTTCTCGTAGGCCGCGGCGCCGTCCCAAAAAGTAATGCCCCGTGTCTCTTAAAAGATTGTACCCGGCCAATCGTAGTGGTTTTATGCACCGGGTGTTCTAATGTAAATGTGTTACATTCAATCTCGATTTTTCTGAAACCTCGCGTTCGCTCTACGTTCGTGCTCTCCGCTGTTAAACACGTTGGCAAAAATTTCTAGAAACATCCTTTATCTAATTCAACTCGAAAGACTTTTATTTCGTCGTTCTAAATCGTCGACGTCTGATAGCTCTCCTCGATAAACGTTCAAGATCGACGAAGGCTTTATCCTTCGTGAATGCTCGGGTACACGTTATCCACCGTGTTTCGCGTGGGTGTAACGTAATCGACTCGTATTATTTTAGCGCTAGCTGGAGACGAACGATTGAGATAATGATTACTATTAGCAGTAATAAATTGCCAGGTACAATCTCTCCATTAATACGACGAAAAATTTACGTTCCTCCCGAGAGAACTTCAAACGTTGTCGTCTCTCGGCGGGAAAAGCGATGGAAGGGAAGTACGAACTAGGGGCGCACACACACGGATATTTGTTCCCAGATATTCTTCTTCTCTGTTTCTTAATTCTCTTTTTTTTTTTTTTTGTTCTTTTGTCATTCGACAAGATAGATATTTCATTCCGTTGAAATCCAAGACACGAAGGGTAAAAAGTATCGATCGTATTACAAGTGAAAGAAACTGTACTATCTATATGTTTTATCGGTGTTAAATCAAGCGAATTGCCGGCCGGATTTCTAATTCGAACATCGAACGAAAGAGGCTAAAACGTCTGGTGGAAAGTATCGTGTCGCAGCCAACAATGACGCCGCTTTCTTCTCACGTGGGACGAGAAAAATGGGCTGCGTGATCATCCTTTAATCCGGCCGTTTCGATGTCGCAGCGATTCACGGAGAAATAGTGCAGCAGGACCGGTCTGGCGCGAATCAATTCATTTTTCATACACGCACGATCGCTATGCGCCCCGGAATCTGGCACTTTTAGTCGTGGCTCAAGGGCAGAGTTGGGCATCGATCGATTAAAATTTCTATTTTTCACTTTGATTACGCCTGATCAACGTTTACGGCCAATAAAACTAATCGTCGACAAATCGTCAATCAATTAATTGTCAATCGTTGTCAAGGAAATTAATCGATCAATAATGTTAATCGTTAATTATCAATTGTTAGTCGTGCAAATATCATTTGAAATTGTGACAATGGGAGAGAGAGAGAGATTTGTAGAAAAATATTTATCTTCGAGAGATTGATATTCACACTGTATTTTCATTTATTGTTATTTCGTTGTTTCATGTATTTGAATCTTTCGTCAAAATTTGAATCTGATCGGTTTTTGGATGGAGATGTTGCGCGAGAATCAATTCACAGAGATAATATTTATGGTATTTTCAAGAAGAAAAGTGTCGTCACTTTATTACACTGTTTTACACATAGTGTAGAAACATTTTAGAATAAAATAAATATAGAGGCTTCGAGCATTAAAATGAGCATTACATTGTTGTACGATTATATATATATATTTTTTTAAAAGTCATTGTAGATATTCGTTGGATAAAACAACGTCACGAGAATATGCGGTGAGTAGAAAGTTGAAGATAAAAATTTTAATGAAACAAATAAGGTGGGAATTCACTGTACAAAATCTCTTTTCGTTTTGTTAAAATAATTGATTGGGGGCTTTCCGAATGATCTTTTAAGTATTCCGATCTAATTAGGCTACGGTGAAGATAAAATTAAAGCGACCAAAGATTAGATCCGTTGAGCTCTTAACTTAAGCCCGCATAAGAAGGATTAGCTTTCACGGAGATCCTCCGCTCAAGTGATTAGGCGTTTTCGTGATCGGAGATGAGATTTATAAAACAAAAAAAAAAATACCTCGTAGTAATGATTGAAAAGGGCCGTTTATCAATGATCGAAATCTGTTAGAGACATCTTTCGATTCTAGAAATGAAAAACGACGTAACACAAAAAATTGATTACATTTCTCAATAGATTGACAGAAATGGACAAAAGTATTTTCGCAGACTCGAAAAATTGTCCACACTTTGAGCTGTTATAACTTTATAAAAAGAAGTCGTATGACAATCGAAGTTGACCTCGTTTCAAAGTGCGGAGCATTCACTTTTTATAGCTGTACGTTAGTTTTTTCTTTTTTTTTTTTTTGAAAGATGTTTTCACATCGTGCAGCAGAAAAATATTTTTGTTGTTGAAAATTGTAAAAGTTCAAACGCCTCTGAGAACTAACTAAACAAAATGTTCACGATTAAATCTAGCATGATCTCGAAGATTGAGATTCTTTTTCGCCATTTTATTGAAACTTGGAACATTAGGGTATCTTGAATTTTCGTCCTTCAATAAAAAGAAATTTCGACGCAAGAGGTGGATCTCGAGCTTCAGGTTTACGGATCTAGCCATGAAAAAAATTTTTTTCAGCGATTTATAAATTTCGACGGCAAGACTATGACTTGCTTTTCGATGCAGATACATCTTTGGACGAAGAAGAAACGTCTCTGGAAGGGAAGAAAGGAGGATTAGCAAAGTAGAGGCCTCGCAGTTTGAAACGAGGCAAACTGAATTGCTGTGCAACGATTTCGTTTTAACAAAGTTTAAACAGTTCGAAATACTTCCTCCTTCATCCTGGCAAATATATTTGCTATTTCAAGGGAAATGGATCCTCGGGCGAAACGGGAGGATTTAAAAAAGAAAAAAAGAACAAAAAAACACAAAGAAACCTCTGCGGATTTTCGAGGCGGAAGAGACGGAGGAAAATGCCATAATCTCCATAGAGAGATGATTTTTTAAAAAATCCATTTACGTGGCAGGGCATGAAGATCGTTGGAATGGATGGGAATTCCGCGCGATGGAAAAACTGTAGCGATCTCGGGACTATACAGTGATTTGTCATGGGCGCGCGGGGTGGAAGTTAGGGGCGAGCAAAGCAATTCAGAAATTAGACACAGCGTTGCCGGGGGGTCGCGTTGAGAAAGCGGACAACGGATTCTATGAAAAATCCTTCGATCACGTTCCCACGACGCGGTTTCGTCTCGCTGCATACAAAGAGCTATAAATTACGGTAGTCGTCGTTGCGTGGGCAATTTTTGCGGCAATTTGACGAGGGTACAGAACCGGGTACGAGGTATTAATTTATCGATTATCGTCCTGATACTTGACCTCGTACCTGTGTTGAAAATTGCGTCGAATAATTAGGAAATATCACGTAGGAATACTTACGAATTTCATGCTTACCCCTTTAGGAAAATTTGAATTAACATCCGCGTTCTCTCTCTTTTTTTCTTTTTCTTTTTTGCTCAAACTTCTGGATATTACGTTTATAATTATGTCGAAATTTATAACGTTACATTTATGATTGAATATTATATCGTGTATTCTGGAGATTCGGTACGGAGATTCTTAATTTAAGAAGCTCTCCGCAAAAGGAGATACTCACATCCATGTTCCTGGTAAAGTCGACGCCACGACGATGAGAAGTAATCGCAGAATGACGAGTAGACCGCCGCAAAGTGCCATTTTACCTGCAAAGTAATTTCGATATAAGTATTAATTTTCAAATTGTCTTGTAATCCAAAGCAGAAAAAAAAAGAAGATAAGAATATAAAAAACAGAATTCATCGTGTCGAACATGTATGTATTAAAATATTAAAATATAATTCCATAATATATAATTCCATTTTAAACTGTTTAAAAAATAGTCAAGTTTCATCAGGTCAGACATTTTCCACGGGGAAAGTTTGTACGCATTTTCATAAACAGAAACTTCGTAAAAATTCGCGTTACTTAAACTAGAAACAATTTTCATCGAACAGAGTCGCGAGAAACCATCTTCACAAGGGAATTCCAAACAATATCATTCATCTACATCTATTGATTTTACAATTTTTTTCTGTTCGTATAACTGAAATTTCATCCATTTTAGAATCTTTAAATTTTATTGTAACTTGTAATTTTTATAATGAAAAATTTTTCTTTAAATCACGATCAAATTGATTTATTTTTATGACCAATTTCTATTACTGTAATTTTATTATTACTGTAATTTCATCATTACCAATATTAGCGGGAGCAATTACTATATTATTTGATCGAAATTTTAATCCCATAGGAGATCCAATTTTATTTCGATTTTTTTGAACATCCAGAAAGTTTATATCTTAATTTTACCAGAATATCTGGATTAATTTCACAAATCATCAATAAGTGAAAGAGGAAAAGAGGAAATTTTTTGAAAATTTAAGAATAATTCATGCGATATTAGGAATTGGATTTTTAGGATTTATTGTTCTGAGCTCATCGTATATTTATCTGTAGGATTAGATATTGATATACACGCGCATATTTTAATAGTATCAAATGCTTCACCCAGTATACAAAATGAGTACGCGAGTACACGTACCTAGTATACATATATATACGTGTATATACCAGTTCCGTGGGCTTCGAGCATGCCGTAGACTCGGCTCGGAACGAAAGACACCTAAGTCCAGACGATTATGGTACATCGATTCGACATTACACCTTGCTCGCTCCTGAAGCAACTGGCGAGAGCTCTTGGTTCTTCTTGGCTCTCCGCAGTCCAGAATCGAGCCACATTGCTCGTTTTGATAGAAACTACGGGCCGAGAATTACGACTCTCTATATAACTTTGAACTCTATAACTTTTCATTTTCAGCTGTTACGCTACGGTGACACGAGAACTATACCTGACTTGATGAGTAGAGTTCAGCGGCAATATTGCATTTATGGTTTATGGATATATATTTCTCGCCTTGATTGCGATCCACGGACACACACACCCACGTTCGTAAGCTGAGGTTGAGTTAGGCTTGGAAAGTTCGCAGTATTTTTCGTATGCATCGACATCAAGTTACGTTGATATTTAGTATAAAGGGACTCTAATGTTATAAATCTCTAGCAAATGGTAAATTCAATCAATTTAATTTGATGAATTAAAAAATAATTTGATGAAACGTATAACAGTAGTTTATTAATAAAATATTTAATAAGTAATCAAAGAATATAATATAATATTTTAAACAATATTAAATATAAAATTTAATATGATATTTTTTCAATTTTGAACATTAATAGTTTATCTAACTTAAAATTTTAATAATATTAATTGATATCAAATTTTTTTAAATTTGCAATTTAATGTTTTGTTATAAACTATAATTAAAATTATCAATAAAATTGAATATAATAAATATAAATAAAGATAAAAAAAACAAATTTATTTTTTTATTAATTTTTAAATAAATATAAATACTATTTATACATATAAATTTTTTTAATTAAAATAATTAAATATTTTCATAATAGCAATAATCTTAATAATAAGATATAATAAATAAAAATATGATAAAAATTTATTAAACTGTCAAATATAATGGAATGTTGAAAGAGTCTAAAACATTTAGCTAGGAATCATGGCAATCGACACGACAGGTTCACGCGAGAATTACAACGCTTGGAAATATCAGAAAAAAATCTGAAACGGCAGCGATCTCGTTTTAGAATGACATTGCATCCCACGTCCTTGGTAATCGATGACAGGCTCGCGTGAAAAAGGAAAAAGGTCTGCCTTAGGTTTTGTTCGCGAGTGAATGATCTCGGGTAACCCGATCGCGGCTCAAAAAGTTCTCCGCTACTGGTTTCAAAAGAGGTGAAAGAGGAGGCGCGCCGTTCATTAAGAAGCCGCTACGCCGTTAAATCAAAAAGCGCGCCCCGATTATGGCACGTCGATTCTTGCGTTACACCTTGCTCGGCCACGACGGGTGGCTGTTGCGTTCAGAGTTGCCCGCTGCGACTAGCTAATATATGCTACATCCGTTGGAGTTACGAGTCGTAAATTTTCCAACTTTTGAACTCCGGCTCCCTATAATTCCAGCGGAACGACCGTGAAACAAATTGAACACGCTCGCGAACGGGAGCTTTTTAAAGGGACGTGGTGTCCTGTCGTCAATTGCCGAGTAATATCGGCGAATTATCAGAGGCAATGTTAAAAAAAAAAAAAAAAAAAAAAAAAAAAAACGAATGAGAATGGAAAAGGTACCTTTGTGTGCGTTTAGTTTGTATTTTATTAGCAATGTTGCAAAAACTTAAATCGCGTAATTTAATCGTAAATCTAAATCGACACATGGTGCGAACTAACGAATTTTAATTTAAGCAGCTGTCACTCGATCATCCCTCCTAAAACTTACTTCGTATTGTGTCTCTTTAATCACTTGTGCTGGCAACTGATTGCGGACCATAACGAGTGACCAAACTGTATACAATAATTCGTCGCTTTCCTTTTGAACTCGTCAGTATAATATCACTGGACAGAAGTAATAAATTTATTGCTTATTTTGCCTATTTTGTTTTACTTAAATATATAATTTTACTTATTATAACACTGTGCTATAATATATTATATATAATATGTTATAACATAACCTGTGTTATGCCTAATATAAGCTAAATTCTAATTAAATACATTGACATTTAGTGTGTTTATTGTTAAATTATATTACAGATTAAAGCTGTATTAACTTTTAAATAAAATAAAATTTTCTACAGTGTCAGAAAGCGACATTACTCGTAGGTACACTTGCGCTGGCAACTGATTGCGGACCATAACGAGTGACCAAACCGTAATAATTCGTCAGTATAATATCACTGGACAGAAATTATTGAGAGAAGTAATAAATCTATTACTTGTTTTGCCTATTTTGTTTTACTTAAATATACTTAAAAATATTACAATTTTGGAAAACAAAAACTTGTCGACGTGCGTGGCAAGAGGTTAACACCGGATTCCTCAATCACCGAGGCTGTCACGTTATACATAATTCAGGTTTAAAGCTTGACTTAACCGAAGACTTTTTTTTATGACTGACTGTAAATTAATTACGGCCGACGAAGCTTCAACAAAAGGGGATTAGACGATAGTACGATATATTTTTACGATGCTAATTATACCTCGCAACGTAATAGACGGTGGACAGCAAAAATAACGTAGTGTAGTACGGTGTGTCACTTAAACGCGGTGGTTATAAAAATTCAAAGACTCAACCCCGAGAGGGGTTAAAACTTGTAGTATACTAGCGTGGCACCTTGTATATATCCTCGTCTATCTAACCCACGCGATCGAGCAGAATATTAGCCGGTATATAAAATGCATTTGTGATCACGACAGGAATGTAAATGGCGTGCTTCAGCACGTCTCTCTCGCGGGGCCGGCCTCGAATTATCAGCAATAAAGTATCTCGCTGGCGTGTTGAACAAGACATGACCGGCGGTAGTGCAAGCACCGCTACATTTGTTGCTGAATGAGTTGGTCCTCGCCGGCTGATCGTTGATCCTGCACAGCTGGATGGTACATACTACCAGCCAGCCTGGCTATAATGATCGTAAAAGATCGTTGATCTAATATTAAAAGCGTGCACGACATTCCGTGCTAACGGCTAACGGCCGTCGAAGAGAAAAGAAAACGAGGGAGATCTGTGAAGCTTTCGCAAGAATCCTCGACTCGCTCGACGATAATTAGGTACGGATCTTTAGGACCGCGAGGACGTCGGTCGCCTAGAGCGCGTCTTCTTCCTTTACGATGCGTACGTACACCTCCTTTTTCGTTAACTTTTCTGACCAAACTTAACTTTTCGCTAACTTTCCTCTTACTTTAATCCGTTTACCAGTTTACTGAACTAGCGTTAAATATATTACACGATAGTTTATACAAACGATTAGAAACGGTACTGAGAGGACGCTTTAGTTTCTAAGAAAATGTGATAATATATATAAATATATATAATAAATATATAATAAATAATAAACAAATATATATATAATAAATAATTTTTTAGAAAAATCTCCGTCTGCAAATTTAAGAACAATCGTCACACGAAACTTCTGCGAAATCGCGTTTCAGCGGCCGACGTGTAAGTACAACGACCATTTCATCGAATTACGTGATAATTCATATCTAATGAAAATACGGAAGTTTTTTACGTAATCTACGAGCAAGTGAAAAAAATTGACGCGACATTCAGAGCGTAATTTCATTACTTTACTACTGTTGTTGGCCTTGTAGAGAAGCACAAAACAGCCTGCGCTCCCACCTGACCAGGAAACATTATCGTAACTTCACTGCCGATAAACTCACTGAAATTCTGCGGTACACGTTTAGCTGGCCCAACGGGTACTATCTCCAGGGTGGAGAGTGAGAAAGAAGAAGGCCAGGAATTGATACAAGCGGACGGGGAAGCATTAACATCGCAGTTTAATTCCTGTTAGACTCGTAATTACACGCGCGTATTTCAGATGTATATACGTATAAAGTTGGCCTCGCGAAAAATGTAATAGCCTCGTTCGGAATATAGGCGATTAGGCATTTGGTTTTTGGGGTTTTGTGATGATTTTGGAGAAGTAAAAAATATATACGGTGGGTCCAAAAAAAAAAAAAAAAAAAAAAAA